GTGAAGCATCCCATTTCAGACTTCTGAGCAACAGAACTATTAAGGTAATAAATCTGTGTTGTTTTAAGTCTCTAAATCTGTACTAATTCGTTAAGGAACCTATAGAAAACTAATACAATGCATGGTTAGTTAGTTTGTGCTCACATCGTAATGATTAGGAACACGGACTCTAGGTTTCTGGTTTCTGGGTTTCCGCTCTGTACAAGCCACGGTTGCTCAGACCCCTCTGCGGCTTTCAATGGCCTTAGCTTCACCTCTCATCAGCTCTGCTCTGGACAGTCCTCAGGTGTAGCCGGTTTCTGGCAGGCACTTCAGCTGCTCCAGCACCATCTCCGCGGGCTCCCAGTGAGCCTTCTAGAGCACGTGTGTGATGCTGCCTTCCTTCCCCCAGCCTGGGCTCTGCTGCTGAGCGTCCAAACACAGTGCAGCTCTCCAGGAGCTGCCCCTGCCCAGGCTCCAGCCTTGTCTCTCTCTGCCTCCACCCCACATTTCCTCTACTACATCCAGCCACCCAGAGCTGCTCACATTCTCCTGACATGCTCACTTTCTCTGTAGCTTGGCCCTCTCCTTCCTCTGCCTGCTAGGCTCACCCTCCTGGCTTCTTTCCAGATTCACTGTGTGTGTCACCTCCTGAATGAAGGCTTCCCTGATTCTCTCTCTGGGCAGGGCTGACTGTTCCCTCAGTACCCCCCACTCCATCAGTAGGGATGCCCTACATTGCCTCTGTGATATTTGCCTGCACTTAATCATTTCTGTTTCCCCAGCAGACCGTTAGCTTCTTGAGAGCCATCTGTTATTTTAGGCAAAGAAACTGAATGTGAGGGACTCCAATAGCATGTGCCTCCCAGGCAAGACTGGCTCCTCGGGGCAGCCACACCCTGGTGCCCAGGACCAGGCCCTGCTGTGCCCACCACAGCTCCTGGACTTTCCTTCCCAGCAACTCTCACAATTTGACATCTTGATCTGAGGGTTTTATAACACTGGTCTCCCCCAAAAGAAGGTTAAAAATCCAAGGACGGTGGTGGTCTTGCTCTCCACTGGGTCCCCAAGTACCATGGGCCATGTCTTACATATAATAACAGCTCAGAAAACACATAAAAACAAAAGTATTTTGGTTAGAGAACCTAACTCACCTCATTGCCACCAAACTGACAAACTCCCTGGATACAATTCAAAAGAATCCATGAGGACACGACATCCCTCCTTTACCTCCATCTACATAGTTTGCATTAAAAATCAGCGCTGTGCTAGTGGGAACGTAAAATGTATAGCTGCTATGGAAGCACGTGGTGTTGCCTCAAAAAATTAGAATTCCCTATGATCCAGCAATTCTACTTCAGAGTATATAGCTAAAGAGTAAAATCAGGGGCTCCAACAGATATTTGTTCATGGCAAAAAAAGATAGAAACAACCCAATGCCTACTGACTGACGAACGCATAAACAAAATGTTGTTTATGCATATGCCCATCACGAAAGCCAGTAAAAAGTGTACAAATCGAATCTGCTTATAGGAGGTGTGGAGAGTAGTCAGATTCACAGAGACAGAAAGGGTAACAGTGGCTGCCAGGGGCTGCAGGGAGAAGGGAGAGTGGGAATTAAGTTTTTAATGGGGACAGTTTCAGTCTGGGATGATAAACAAAGTTCTAGAGATGGCTGGTGGTGACAACTGTGAACAATGTGAATGTACTAGATGCCACTGAACTGTACACCTAAAATCGGTTAAATTAGTAAATTTTATGTTATATATATTTTACCACATTTAAAAAAATTAAATTTAGAAAATACATTAGAACATTTCTCCTAACACACGGAGGAAAAACCCAAGGCCCCTGGTGTTTCCCCTACCCGGGACACACTGCCAAATCACGTAGCTGGGAGCTCAGACAGGGTATTTTTGTTTCAATTGATTGCTTGGATTATTAGGAAGCTGCCAGGTTTTTAATCTTTCTTCTTTCCAGATGGAAAAAGTCATCAAGGCCTATCTAGTCATAGATAAATTCCTATCAACTACGTTTAAAACAACCTACAAGGAAGTCCCTTTTAGAGAAATAAAATAGGAAGAGAAGACAGGAATGAGAAGACATACCCACAAATGTCGACAGACACCTTTGTGCAGATGTCCTGGTGTGTGCGGTGTGTGAGGTGCCAAGGGAAGGGGTGGTAGGCTAAGCCAGCATTAGGGCAGGCTGGGCCCACTCTGCTTCTTACCAGGGCGGGGCACAGGGCTGCCCCCAGCCAAGGGGAGCCTTCCGTGACTGGTACAGTCACCCACGTCTGCCAGCCTCCCTCTCACACCCTGCCTGCCCGCTGGGCAATGCCCACCGCCCAAGGAGGAAGTCCTGGGTGGAATGGAGACCCTCAGGGGCACCTCCAGTGAAGGCTTCTTGACTGCAAACTATCTCCAGATGCTCCCAGAGATGATAATTAAAGAATGACTGGAACTGCAGGCAGTGGGAGGCCACTTCCTGTGCTGGCCCCACCCGCCTGCCTAGCCAGAACTCCAGACATCACACACCTTCTTGTTCTGGGCTAGCGGAGGTGTGGAGCCCAGGCACCCCACCGTGGGCTCCCCTACCCCTATTCCAGCCGAATGACACCGGGACATCCAGAAAAACCCTGCAGGAGATAGAAGGCCCCCCAAGGACCAAATGCCCTGGGGTTGGAAGGAAGGGGCATAGCCCCCACCCTACACTTTGGTGACTGAGATCTTGACAGCTCATGTGTAAGAGTCTCAGGCCTCATGGCACCCGTCAGTCAGAGGTGATATCTTGCCCTGCAGCTACCCCCCAAGTCAGAGCCTTCCCCAGCCTCTGAAGCTTACTGGGGCTGAGTCAAGGGGCTGTCCTGACCCTCCGCACTAGGGGGTCCCACCGACATGCCCAGCATTTGCAGGGATCAAGGCACAGGACGTCTAGTTTGTTCCTTGAACATGACTTGAGGAAAGAGCGCCCTGACTGGGGCTGCGGCCTATTGGACAGTTCAGCTCAGAGCTAGGTTTCTGGGCACCTGCCACTCCTGAGAGCTAGCTCCCGGCTTACTCCCAGAGGCGGCGGAGTTTGCAGGAGGCTTTCAGTTTTGCAGCTGACATCACAGGAGAAACTAAAATTCTGCTCCAGGCTGTTCTGTGGCCATCATATAACTCCCTGGACCCCAGGCTCTTCTTCTGTAAACAGAGGGTACTGACTGGGTGATTGCTCGGGTTCCTGCCACAGTCACAACAGCCTCCATTAGAAAGTTACACCATGTTGTTCAGAATGTCAGCCACACCCAGACACACACCTGCCCGAACTGTGCAACAAGGCACAGTTATGTGCAACATATGTTATGTGCAACAAGGCAACGTTATGACATTTCAGGGCATTTTTGCTTTCATGGGCCCTTCCTCCATAAAAATACTAGAAGGCCTATTTTAAAAGTTGAATATATTAATATTATATATTAAAAAGCTTTTTCTTCCTAAAATTTAATTTTTTTCTGATTTTAAAATAAAATATTTTCAGGGGCCCCTTAGAGTATCATTTGTGAGCCCTACACGCTACGCCTACTCTGCCTAATGGATCTGCCAGCCCTGCATTGGCAGACGTACCAGTAGAGGGAACAAGGAAGCGACCCAGCGTGCAGGGAGGGCCTGACCAGGCAGCGGGTGACCAGGGCCAGTCACTTCGCCTCTCTGTGCCTCATTTTCCCCACCCAGGGATCGTAATAGCATCGACCCCACAGAGTAGTTCTCTGGACTAAAATAAAAGCGTGTGTGTAAGTACCTTGCACAACAATCACTATAAAAGTGTTAGTTGCTGTTGACACCATTGTTCACTGTTCTAGCCACGTAGCTGCGCCTCTGTATCTGCTGACACTCTACAAGGCAGGCCGGGTGGAACTCCCTGCTGACAGACCGGCTCACTTGGACCTCCTAGAGCTGATACAGCTATTTCGGAGCTGCTTATTCAGGAAAATGTTATCTCCATAAAATTCCGTGGAGGCATTCCGCAAGGCAAAGGAATCAGACTCCTAAAGGGAAGGCGGGCCTCCTGACATGAGCTGGTGGTGAGCAGCATTCCTGAGCGGAAGAAGAGGCATGGAAGAAGAGGGATATAATCTGCCACGGCTTCTCTCCTACCCTCTGCAGATGCCAAAGCTCGGGAATCGAGTGGGAGGCTTTGAGGTCTTTAAAAAAAGGCAAAGGCCTCTAGGATAAATTAATGTCTTAATCCCTTAACAGTCACACAAGAGGAAGGCCTGGCAGCTGGGCTTTCCTAAGGGGATGCCAGCCGGTATGTGCCAGGGGCTTTACATACATTAACTCCCTTAATCCTGACAACAACCCCAGATTCAGGGATCTATCTCCCCAGTTTACAAACCAGCAAACAAAGGCTCAGGGAGGCTGGACGGCCTGCCCCCAGGTCACCCCTCCCGTTCCTGCCCCCTCAGGAGAAGGCCAGGACCTCAGACAAGATCAGAGGGAAGATACAGGGGGAGGGGAGGCAGCCTGCTGCGTCTGTCCTGCCCAGGGCCCACGGGCTGCTGCTCCCCACACGAACGAGAGGGACCCTGGCCCCGAATCTCCTGCATTCTGCTCTTCTCAGCCCACCCCCTGAGGGGCAGGCTGTCCCCTCTCCCAGCTCTCCTGTGGCTTTTCTCCAGTTCCCGTAAGGGACAGCCGCCACTCTTCCGGGGCAGGCCTGCAAGAGGGCTTCGGAAGGAGCTAAGCTGTTGCTGAGGCAGCCCTTCAAAGTCCCAGACTCCCCGCCGATCACGGGGCAGCCTGGCAGGGGACCCGTTCTGCGCCCAGACTCCCCAGGGCCGGTCTCACATTTTTAGGGAGGGAGAGCCGGCTGCAGCAGGGCGGCTCGGCCTGTCCCACCCACCACCCCACAGCCCCCCTCACTCACTTCCTTCCAGCTCTCCTCTCGGTGGGAAACCCAGGGACTCTGGGAGGCCTGGCAGAGCAGACAGAGCAGCAGAAGGCGGCCCTGGGGACACGGCAAGGACCCAGACCTACCTCCGAAGGCAGGCCTCATGCTGAAGTCGTGGTCCTCCACTCGGAGAAGCGGCGGAGGCTTTCCTTTGCCGACTTTGGTCACGTCAAGTTTCTTATACAGGTGACTGCAAAGATAGGCACGAGCTCTCATTCCATCCGCCTCACAGAACAGGAGGGCCTGCGGGGTTGCTCTGTGCAGACCCTACTTGCTGCGCTCCTTTTTCCATCCTGCTGAGGGACACACACTCACACACAACCCCTCCGCACCCTGTCTCTCTGCCCCAGGCTCCCCGCAGGCAGGCCCCCCTGCGGAGCAGGCCTTGGGGGGCCTTGCTAAGGTAAAGCCCTCCTGAAGACAGCACTCCACCTTGGCAAGCCCTTGATTATCTTGCCAGAAGTTGGGGTTGGATGACAGTGAGACAGGATTGTGATGTTTTTTCTTATTAAACATTGCTCTTATGTTGTTATAATACTGGTTTTGTGATAAATAAGATTCTGAGGCAAATATAGTTCAAGTTTTGAAAGCTTTAAAATGCTGGTGTTGTCCGAGCCAGACCAGACGGGAGGAGGGCAAGGAAAGGCGCAGGGAAGGCCAGTGGGAATGCCTCCGAGCAGGGACTCCCTGGGGACTTGGGGGAGGGGACGTGCAGGGGCCCAGTGGGGCCTGACTCACTCAGCTACTGCGGGGAGGGGACTGTCTGAGTGCAGAGCAGAACAGGCCCTGAGGTGGTCTTGCTGGAAGCACCTGGCGCCTTCATGAGGGTGCAGTGGAGACAGGTGTAGAGAGGTGATGAGGTCTGGGGGAGGCAGAAGGGTCTTGCTGATGGATTGTGCACAGGGTATGCGGGAAAGGGGGTCAGGATTGTGTCTTGAGCACCTGGGTGCACGGTGGGGACGTTCCCTAAGATGGTGAAAACTGAGGGAGCGGTGTGTTAGCAGTGAGGGGGTGCATCTAATTCTTACGAGTCACCTTGATTTCCAGCTGCCTGGGAGACATCCAGGGAGAAGGTGAAAACGGGGTGGGGGTGGCGGGCAACACACAGGCAGCAAACAATGCATTCATTCCCTTCAGCCCCGTGGGTTCTGGGGGAGCAGGGGACTCACAGCAGGGCCTGACCCTCCTCCTCGCAGAGCCCTTTAGACTCGGCCCTCAAACATCCTCACCCACTTTCCTCAGTGTATCCCTTCTCCAAGCTCATTCACATCAGCATTAAAACTGCATTCGAGGCTCTTCCACTGTGCACAAAACTGAGCAGAGAGTCCACTAGACCCCACAGCCTCCTCATGCAAAATCTGTTGAAAAATGGCCACAGTACAGGTGTGGTAGTTACATTCTTTTTGGAACATTGTTTTCTGAGAAAATGTCTTCCCTCCCAGTAAACAAACAATGCCCACAGAGCTGCGCCCCACATGCGGCCCCCACTTCCAGCCTGTGCCCTGGGCTGGCAGGTGCTCTTGCCTGGGGTGGGGAGGACCAGCCTCTGCCACACGCCCCTGGGTTTTCCTCCTACCTGACAGCTCCTCCTACCTGACAGTTCTCAGTCTCTAGTGCAGCCTCCCCTGGTCCCCAGGCCATCCCCTAAGTGCCAGTGTCCCCAGGGCCCTGTGCCAGCCACCTTCTCTCCCCGCACGCTGGCAGCACGCCCACATCAGGGGCTTCAGCTGTCATTAGCATGCTGGAGATTCCTAACTCTGTATCCCCTGCCCTAAGTATATCCCATGCCTGATTATCCCCAGCGGAGTGTCCTAGAGGCATTGAAAGTCAACACCCTGTAGTTTGGATCGGAAAGCTCTGAGGTGGAGGTGGCCCGGCTGAGAGATGAGTGGGCATCAAGTGAAGCGGGGAAGGAAAGGAGGGGGCCAGCTGGCACGGACAGAGTGGGGCTGTCGGGGCAGGCAGGGGCCGGGCCAGCAGAGCCTCAAAGACCATGTTAAGAATTGGGTCTTTACCCAAAGGCAATAAGGAAACCCTGAATGGTGATAGGCAGTTGGAGGAAGAAGCCATGATCAGATTTGCTTTTAGACAAAGCTAAGGCTGCACAGTTCAGGGAGCACAGCCCACTGTGACGTCTTGCTCCCATTTGGCTGGAAGAGGGGACCTAAGTCCAGCCCCCCACTGAGGCAGGGTGGCCACAGACGGGGTCATTCACGCCAGAAGTCAGAGGCACCAGGCCCAGTTCCCTGGGACCCAACCTCATGAGGCGCCAGGTTCAGATGCCCCAGCAAAGACACCCCGGGAACACGGAAGAGAGCTTGGCCAAAGAGCTTAGCAGATCTGAGACATTACATTTTGAGTGCAGCCGCTCACCACCCCCTGCCTCATGGGGAGTAAATCCCTTCCGGCCAGCACAGTTTCCACATCTATTTAGGGGGAGGATTAGGGAACAGGAGTCCTAGAAGGCCAGCACCCCTGCAAGAGAGAGAGGATTGAAATCCCGGTGCTATTAATGAGGGCCTAGAAGTTATTTTTAAGGGACCAGTTGTTTGATAACTCAGGTCACTAATCTCCCAAGCTGTGGGCTCTTTGCGTGAGTCAGAAGCCCTCAATTCATCCTGCCATTGCCTGATACCCCAGCCTCAGACCCCAGATTCCAGGGGCCCTGTCCTGACTCCCAGCTCTGCCGTAAGGAAGCCAGAACCTTCACAGGACCTCAAATCCAGACTTGGAGAGTGACACACTCACCACCCCTTTGAGAAGCAGGGCTGGTGCCATTAGGTTGTGGTTGACTTGGCAGTAGTAATGATCACAATGACCTCATGAATCGGTCCCCTCTGCACAGGCCCTGAGCAGCAGCCACCCCATCACCCCAGTGGGGAAGGTCTCATCACAACTGCCTCTCAGTTGAAGAAATGAGGTTTAGACAGATCAGGAAACAAGATCACACAGCCAGGGAGCAGCAGAGCCAGGGCCTGAGCCTGCTTTCCCTGGCTTCCCAGCCCCACTTCGTGCCCCAGACCCTCTGGCAAGGCTGAAGGTCCCGGGGCAGCAGGAGAGCAAAGACGCTCCGGATCCAGCACAACCTGAGCCCTGAGGCAAACCGGGGCAAGGATGGCCAAGGGCAGGTGGTCCCAAGGGAGCAGCGAACAGGGGAGGAAATATGAAAGGGGAACCCGGGGACTCAGGAAGAGCCCAGGCTCCCAGGGCCCAGAGCTTGGCTTGTTTTCAGAGCAAGAAGGGAGGAGGGCCTCTCTTGGCAGGAAAGCAATCGTGTGGTCAGGAGGCCCACTGAGGCAGCAGGGTAAGGATGAGCTGGAATAAAGCTGGGCAGCTGAGACGCAGGAAGAACAGAACAAAACAGACAGCTGAGGGAAAAGAGGTTCACTGGGCAGTGATTCAGTAAGTAGGGACACAAAGGATCGAAAGCCAGAAGCAGTTTTTAAAGAGGCATCTGCTTGGCAGAATAATCCAGAGGTGAGGGTGCCTTGGCCAGAGTGAGGCAGGGAAGGCTTCCCGGGAAGAGGTCCTGACGTGTGCGTGCACATGAGCGACCACATATATTACATGTGGCATGTGTGTGCATGACTCTGTGAGTGTGTGTGAACAGGACTTCTAAGGAAAGGAGATGCCCTCCAGAGATGAAATGCCCTAAGACTGCATTGAGAAAGGACCAGGTCATTTTATTCCTATTTATTAGTATAGTTTAACTCTAGTGTGTCAATAATGAAAAGTATTTTTGGTCAGATGCTTGCCTGAAACTTTTCACAGATGTAGCTCTATGATTGTCTGAGTATATGCAAGTCCTGGTGGACGAAGAAAGGCCTAGAGCCATGTTCCCTGATGTGACCTTGTCTCTATCCTTTTTCCCAGCCTCTATTCAATAATTATTTTATATTCTTTGAATGTGTGTGTTTATCTTGTCATCCACTTCAACACCTCACAGGATAAATTACAAGAAATTCTCCTCAGCCCTAAGGGCTAGATTCATCCTGTCCCCAAGCTCATACAGGTGTATGGGAATGAGACTGGGGGGGTCTTCTGAACGGGACAGAGATGTGACAAGCAAGGCTGCTGTGGGAACCCCTGAACCCCAGCATGGCAGTTTCAGATAGTGCTTTTCCTCCAGGCTGAGGAAAAGGGGAACCTGCATTCTAGTCCCATCAGTCATCAGCAAGCCATGTCAATTACTCCTGCCTGTGAGCCAACTTTTGGCATCCTTAAATGGCACAGTGTTTCCCAGGGTGGGCTCTGTGGAATATGAATTCCACAAGATAGTCCAAGAAAAAGTGTGGGTTTTTGTTTTTTTAGAAACTGCATAATATATCCCCCTCTTCAAGATATACAATGTCTATATGCATGATATATAAAAAGGATCTAAGAGTTCTGCTATAAAGACATCTGTTCAAAATGGTCCAAACCAGAGTTTCCCAAGCTTCTTTGATCCTGAAGCTCTTTTTTTGTACACATTTCACTGAACCAGAGCTCAGAGGAATTGCTGGCCCAGGGATCTCTGAGATTCCTTCCAGTTCAACAGCCTCTGATTCTGGCAATGTAACCAGAATGAGTTTCAAAGCAGTCAGTGTCTCTTTTGTATCGTCCTGGATTATTTTTATCTGTTTTCTTGCTGACCAGGGAGGGTTAGGCCCTACCGAGTATTTACATCTCCTAGAGCAGCAGTCTCCCAAGGAGGGGCCTACACCTGGGGGCTCAAGATGGTCTAGTGGGAGTCCTGGAAGTAGAGACTAGAACTCTTATTTATAGTTCTTTTTTTTTTCTAAAAATAAGGAAGCAATCAGGCTTCAATTTAATATACATAATATTTTTAAATACTATATCAGAATATAAAATATATAAATACTACTGAAATATAATATTTATAACATATGTTATGTAATTTTAAGTAAATATACATATATTGGAGGTTCAAAAAACTGTCACTGACAGCAGTGCATGATTAAAAATAAAGACCAGGGACCTAGAAAATGCACCTCAAGAAATGAGTTTATATTCATAATCACTAGTTCACACAATGCTTCATATAATGGAAAACAGATGTGTGTTTTAACATCTCACACATGGTGTTTATACCTTAGCTGCGTGCTCTTCTCTTCATGCCAAACAGCCCTATGTCTACATTAGGCCTGGGGTATCAGACTTCGCGTATCAGTTTAAAGCAATCTTAGAACAGAACTTCGGACTGTAATGCAACGATTTTGAATGCAAATTCTGGGCCTAGCCAGTACTTCTTAGAAATGTTTTCATTACCTCATGAATTGGCATTCACTGTTTTCCACACATACATTTCTGATAACCTAGCAAATTTCAAACACCTTTTGTAAGACTCAGAACAGTAAAATGAAACCCAATACCAATATAAAGTTGTTCTCAATCCAATAATTTAAAGAAGACGACTCCCACTTACATTTTTCTGAACTGTTTCAGCTACAATTTCTATACACAGTTCCCTGGAACATCCCTGAGTGTGATTACTTAGCACGGCACCAATGGTCCCCCCACGGCTCTGAGAAACAGAGCCGCACCACCTGAGGGCTACAAAGGCGTCTTACCCACTGAGGCCCAACTATCTGCCAAGTCAAGACGCTTTGGCGAAACAGACATCAGAATGAAAGGCTCAACCTAGTCTAGCTCTGCTCTCTCAGTGCTCGTGTCTCGAGAGAGTAAGTGTGCCCAGTGCAAGGCTGTTTTCCTTGTGAGGTCGAGGCCCGTCTCGGCTGGAAATCAGAGCCCGGTAGGGTGATGCGCCCTCCAGGCCTCCCTGGGGCGGCTCCACCGAGAGCTGCGGCCAGGAGCCCCCCTCTCCGCCCCGCGGCCCTACCTCGGCTTGGGCGTTTCCAGCTGCCCCGTCCGCTTCCTCCTCCTGGGCTTTCTGCTTTCCACGAGAACCATCAGGCAAAACAAGAAGAAAACGAGTCTTGTGAAATGAGGCATTCTGGGAAGGTCTACTGGGCCGCCAGCTGCTCCCCCGTGACTGCGGCGGAGCAAATGACCCTGGGCTTAACCGTTGACTCAGCCTGCTGCCTTGTGTCGGTGCCTCTCCAAGGGGCTGCGAGGGCATGGCCGGCCAGGCTGATTTCCCCAATTTAATATTTGATACTAATGCTTGTCCCACCCCACCGCACCCCCCGACGCCCTGGGCCGTGACACAAACACCAAGGCTTTGCCCTCCCTGCCGCTTAGTGATTGGCCATTAGTCAACAAGTTTGCTCTGTGAAACTGCTTCCACTGAGTCCTAGAACAGCTTTGGATAAAACTGTTACATAAAAAAAATTTTAATCTCTTTAACATGCCAGCTTTTTGCTGAGATCAGTAATCCTTCTCTCTGACTGCATAAAACCTGTCTGTCACGTCCACCAGAGTCAGCCTGGGTTCTGAGTTGATCTGCAGGGCAGACTTGGTGCACATGGAGATGAGTGCATGCGTGTGCTCGGAAAATGCTGAGGAAACACACAAATGACCTGCTTCCACAGGCTTGCTTAATTTCCTCATCTATGAGATTGTGCTTTGCCTCCGGCCAAGATGCTTGCTTTTTCCCCAATGTAAATTTTTTTTTGTTTTTTAAATGAAGACGCATCTTATCAAAGCATAAAATACATTTTGATTTTGAAGCAAAGCATAAACCAAAGGAGAATTCATGATTTTATAAGCTCTTCTTCCTCTCCTGAGCATTAGATTGACTTTGGTCTTTAATCCTAAAATGTGTAAGGTCATCAGGATAGGCGTGATTCCTACCCTGGGGTATGGAATGAAGAACTTTAGAAGTACAAAGATAACATGTGGTCGTGTTTTATATACTAAACAGAATAAAATGTTTAAAAACCACATATCGCTTGCCTGCTGCAACCTGAGAATGGAGAGGAGGTGAGCATGGAAGACACACAGAGATGAGGATGAAGATGAGGTGGAGCGACAGAAACAGAATTGGGGTCTTAGTATGTAAGAAAGAAAGGATAAAAAGAAAAGCTCCTTTTGATTACTTTAAGCAAAGAGGGATGACATGATCTGCGACATTTTTTACGGAATTTCTAACTGGGATCATTTGGATCAGAGAAGTTATAATGAAAGAGGGTAAGATCCTCAGGGAAGGGAAGGGGGGAGGGGGGAGGGGAGGGGAGGGGAGATAGGATGAGTCAGGCAGGTTATTTCTGAAGAAGAATACATCTGATGACCAAGTAGAGTAGGAGGTAAGAGAAAGCAACACTGATATCCAGGATCCTGGTTTGGAGGTAGGTCTGGTGTGTGGTACCACCACTAACTGATACCATTACAGATGGACCAGTTTGGCAGGGAGATGAGGTGAATTTTGACTTGTGCAGTTTGAGGGGTCATGGGACCTCTGGATGTCCACTAAGGAGCTGGAATGTGAGGCTGGTGCTCAGGAGAAAGGTCTGCATTGGAGAAATAGGTTTGGAACCATCAGTGAGTGATGGTAATTTAACCACAGGAGAGGATGAGACCTTCCAGGGAAATAGAGGAGGTCTGAGGCCAAGCACAGGATTCTGGAGAATCTATATTCTTCAAGAATGAAGGGACAGCCAGAACAAAAGCACAGAAGAACAAAGAGACTATGAAATCCAAAGGAGTTTCAGGGAGGAAGGTGATCAACAGTTGGTGCTGTGAGGGCATGAGGCCAAACAACAGGCTACTGGGCTGACAGCCAGACATCCTTCCTAACCTCAGCTAATGGTAATTTCACTTGCAAGATGTGGTTGGAATCCAAATTACAATGGATTAAATAGATATTTGGGAGTGGGAATAATTCATTTAGGGACAAATTCAGTGGTCCTGAATTGGCCACTCCTCAGAAATATTCAGGTAATTTGTTTAAAAGTCCCTCTGAGGCTTCTCAGGTCTTCTAGGAAGATGGTGGCATAGAGAGAACTTGCGTTGACCTCCTCCCAGCTTCCCACTCAGTCTACACCTAAACACACACAGCAATTCACCTGGAGGGAGAACGAAGGACTCAGTACCTTCTGCAAAAGAAGGGATAGAAAAATCACATAAAAAGACAGCAGGAGAGATGGAGACAAGGTAATGGAGGGAACTGTGCCCCCACACAATGACTTGCAGAGGGGGAGGATAGCTGGACACAGATTCCCTGTCCTCGGGCATAGGAAAAAAAACACGTTTTCAAGTGCATCTAGACTACAAGTGAAAAAACCTGATGTAAAGAACTAAAGCACCCTCCATTGGCAGGGGAACAGCTGGAACTCTCTCTGAGTAGGTGGGCTGGTGAGCACCACTGTTTGCACTTCTTCCCCACATCAATAGTGACAGGGGGAGCAGGGTTGGGGCACATACACCAATTTTAGACATGGCATATATAGGTGGCTTCCCAGCCCCTGCCCACACCCAGGCATATCAGCCAGGGAGTGCATATGGGCCACAGCTGCCCCCAGGGCATGCAGCCAATTGCTGACCACCCCTGGAGTACACCTGAGCCACTTGCTGCACTTGAGGCACAGAGCTGGTAGCTGCCGAGGCAAGGCCTTCCTGGAACCTGCACCTGGATGGGCTACCTCCCCACCAGCATGGACCCCACTGGTAGCCACTCAGAACTGGTCCCTCTGACCACGTCCCCTCCAATCATGCCCTGAGAGCCCAGACCCCAGGACACCCCCAGCTCATGCTCACTAGGCCTTCAGCCAGCCAGTCAAAGCCACCAGCACACACAGTCTACCCCAGGGACCTTTCCTACATAAGGCCAATTCTACAAGACTAGGAGAGGCAGCCCTTTCTACTAACGCACAGAACTTCAAACAATACAGAGATGGAGGAATATGCTTGAAACAGAGACATGACAAAACTTCAGAAAAAGAACAAATGAAAGAGAGGTAAGCAATCTACTGGATGCTCACCAGACTTGAGGGAGGGGTGGAGGAACTCAGTGAGAACCTCTGCAGAGAGACAGAAATACATAAAACAACCAATCAGAGATGAATAATACAATAAATGAAATGCAAAATACACTGGATGGAATCAGCAGCAGATTAGAGGGTGCAGAATGGATCAGTGATTTGGAAGACAGAGTAATGGAAAGCACTCAAACTGAATAGCAGAAAGAAAAAAATTAAACAAAGAAATGAGGATAGGTTAAGGGAGCTCTGGAACAATATCAAATGTCCAAACATTCACATTCTAGGAGTTCCAGAAGGAGACATGAGAAAGGAGTAGAAAGTTTATTTGAAGAAATTATAGCTGAAAACTTCCCTAACCTAGGGAATTACACCTAAAAATTAGTCAAGGGAATCACCAAATAAAAAGGTGTAAAAGAAAGCATCATACACATAAAATGTGGAGACGGGAGAAAAAAATGTAGTGTTGTTAGAACATAAGGTCCACACCAAGGCACATAACAATTAAAATGTCAAAGACAGAAGAATTTTAAAAGCAGCGAGAGAAAAGCAGTGAGTTACCTACATGGGAAACCCCATAAGACTGACCACTGATTTTTCCAGCAGAAACTCTATAGGCCAGAAGGGAGTGGCTTGGTATATTTAAAGTGCAGAAAGAGAAAAAAACTCCAAGAATATGGTACCCAGCAAGGTTATCATTCAGAATGGAAGGGGAGATAAAAATCTTCACAGAAAACTATAAAAATGTAAGTTTACAAATTCATCACCACTAAACCAACAACCTTACAAGAAATATTAAAGAGTCTTCTTTAAGAGGAAAAGAAAAGACCCTAAACAGAAGCAAGAAAGATACAAAAGTGAAAATTTCACTGGTAAAAGCAAACATATACCAGAGGTAGTAAATCAATCAAAAGATAGTATGAAGGTCAAAAAGACAAAAGGAGTAAAATCAATTACACCTAAAAATTAGTCAAGGGAATCACCAAATAAAAAGGTGTAAAAGTGGAGACATAAAATATGGAGACAGAAAAAAAAAATGTAGTGTTGTTAGAATGTCTTTGAATATGAGACCAGTGACTTATCATAGATAGCTATATATGTAGAATGTCATATGAGAACCCCATGGTAACCACAAGCCAAAAACCTGTAATGGATACACAAAAAAAGCAGAGAAGGGAATCCAGATATAACACTAAGGGAAGTCACAAGGCATAAGAGGAGAGCAAGAGAGGAAGAAGGATCAGAAACAAGAACAAAAATGGTAATAATGACACACCTATCAATAATTACTGTAAATGCAAATGGAATAAATGTTCCAATCAAAAGACATAGGTTGACTAAATGGACAAAAAAACAAGACCCATCTATTTGCCACTTACAAGAGACTCACTTTAGACCTAAAGATACACACAGACTGAAACTGAAAGGTAGAAAAAGATCCTCCATGCAACCAAGAATGAAAAAAATCTGGAATAGCAAAACTTTTATCAGACAAAATAGACTTTAAAACAAAGACTGTAACAAGAGACAGAAAAGGATATTATATAGTTATTAAGAGCATTATCCAACAAGAAGATATAACAAGTGTATACATCTATGCACCCAGTAGAGGAGTACCTAAATACATAAAACAAATATTAAAGGGAGAGATTGACAGTAATACAATAATAGTAGCAGACTTTAACACCCCACTTATGTCAATGGATAAATCATCCAGACAGAAAATCAGAAGGAAATGGTGGATCTGAATGACACATTAGACCAATTGGAACTAACATATATACAGAACATTACAACCAAAAACAATACACATTCTTTTCAAGTGCACAAGGAACATTCTCAGAATAGATCCCATGTTAGACCACAAAGAAAGAGTTAATAAATTTAAGAAGACTGAAATCACATCAGACATCCTTTTTGACCACAATGGTATGAAACTAGAAATCAATTACAAGAAAAAAAAATAGAAAAGCACAAACACATGGAGGCCTAAGAGCCTGCTACTAAACAAACAATGGGTCACCAAAGAAATCAAAGAAGAAATGAAAAAATGCAATAATTCAAAATCCTCTTTGGGATACAGGGAAAGCAGTGCTAAGAGGGAAGTTTATAGCAATTCAGGCCTACCTCAAGCAGGAAGAA